TGCAACTGTTCGGTTGTTTTCCCGCAAGTGAATGATATTGTGTTCAAGTAATATACAACCTGTCTGGCAAAACTAAAAATCAGGAAAACATTTGTTTTTTGACCGTTAATATTTAAAAAATGGGACCCACCCTCTCACAAAGAAGTCAAAATGTGCGGCACAAACGGTAGGAATTTTGATTATTAGTTTTGCCAGACAAACTCTAGGTTATTTTTAAAGGTACCCCACTAGTAGCTCTAGATGGGGATGGGCTTATGTAGAAATCTAAAGTGATCATTTTTCATTATTATACGGAAAAATTTACATAGACGGGGGAGGAAGAGGAAAATTACATAAATATTAATTATTATTTTATTACATTTAAATATATTTTTCTTTTTTATTATTTGTTAAGATATATTTGTTTTATACTTTTTGGTTTAGACGAGATTACTACAATTTAAAAATACTTCTGTAGAATTTTTTAAAGATTATAATATTTGATTTTTTTTTCTGCAAATATGTTTGACAAATTATTAATAAGTCAATATAAAAAATGTTTTGGAGTGATTTTATAAAGCTAATTGATAATTTATTAAGTTCCGTTTGACCTCCATTATTTGAAATTTTAATGATTTGAATAATTTATTTTTTTTTGAAAAATGTGTGATTAATAAAAAAATTTGTGTAATATTATTTTATTGGAGAATTTATGATTGATAAGAAAATATATAAATGAATTATAGAGCATATTTGAGCCTCATTTCTTTTTAAGAATGCATTTCGACATAGCAGATTGATGGATGATGTGTGGTTGAAAAAAAAAATGGATTTGAGTGTAATATTATTTTATTGAAAAATGTGTGGTTGAAAATAAGAGAGAGAAAAATTTATTTTAAAAATAATGGGGATAAAACAATGTCATAGTTTTAATGGGACCAAACATGTGCTAAATATTTTATATTACTAGATTTAATACCGGTTTCTCTTTTTATTTTTGTTTTTTATACTCTTAACATTTTTACTAAATTAAATACTGAAATATAAAGTAAAATTATTATATTAAATCAATTTTAATTTGTTAAAATCTACAAAAATGTGATTGAGTTGAAGTCAATATGTGCAAAAAGATTATTCTTTTTAAAATTACAATTGTTTATTCTTGTCCTTAAAATTTTTGGAAATTTTTTTTGGAAAATGAAATCATTGTTTAGGAACTATTGTTAGGATAACGGAGTAATTCTATCATCGTGGACAATGAATTAGAAGTTCACAATCATCTAAACTGGCGATGATCACAACTAATAATGAATAAAATTATAATGTTATTATTACAACATGTTTATCAACAACCTTCAGATATAATTATAAAGTTATTTTCAAAAATAGTTATCTAAATATTCGTTAAATCGCAATGTTACCTTTGCAAACAAACCCTTCGTGAAGTTGATAAATTTGTGGACAAGCAACTAACAAATTTTTGGATGGCGCCTTTGATTGAGAACTAGTCGTGCAATTATATTAAAAGTTGTGTTACTAATTTGCTAATTGATCAATAAGTTGGGGACCGATGGTTTAATTTCTCATATTTTATTTAAAAATAAAAATTTATTCTACCTTAGGTTTTTAGGGAATTCTACCGTGAGTTCTTATATTAACTTTAATTGCATCGTGCAAAACAATTATCATATTCTACTAGGATATTAACAAATATCATATTCTACTAAATTATTCGAGTATTGGAAGGTCCCTAATAATAATACCATTATGATAGATACGTTTGGAAGGTCCCTAATAAACGATTTCCTTACAATTTACATTTCAAAGTCAAACATTAATTTAAACCATACATTTCGTATGATTAACAATTAATATTTGCTACACGTTTATACCAACTCACCTTATGTGTCAAATATTTGACAGTTGATTGAAAAAAGCGTTGTCACGATCGATCTACCAAAACTTGTCAACTCCATGGATGTAACTCAATGTGTCAACATTTACGTACATGTAGTATGGTCATTAAAAAAATATATACATAGACACTTTATCACAAGGCCCAATTTCATAGGCATGCCTCGATGAAGATCGTTTGAGGTTATAATGTGTACTGTAAGTGGTGTTAATTCTCAATCTTAAACTCGAGCACTCTTCAAATAAATTTATATACCTATTTGTAAAGAAAAATAGTAGAGAATTTCATAAAAAGAGTGGATAATAAATGAGGGATAGTTACGAATGTATGTTGAAATTAATGTTCGACTAAATTTATAAATGGCTTACAGATTTTATTGTCAAATGGAGGCAATGGTCTAAAAAACCAAATGGTCAGTGAACTTTGCCCAATATTTTCTATGACTATTAATTTTAAAATTTTTTTGGATGATCGTAGAACATATCAAATTATCATCGTATTGGCTATTGAACTTTTAAAAAAAATTCAAATTTATCAAATAGTTATCGCATCCATCACTCAATAACCCACATTTAGAAATTTCGACGGATTTGCTGACGTGAAAAACAGACCGACACGACATTTCATCATTAGTTGACGACAAATCAAATTTTCGCTTATATAAATGCAATTAACATGAAAACAATAAAAAAATAGTATTAAATGAAAACAACCAAATTTAATGTGCAATGACAATAATGTACAATGTCACGCTTCTATATGCCACGTAAGTGAGTCCATCGAATTTTCAGACAGTGAATTATTGAACGACGGATTGGATAATTATTTATTAAAAATTTAATGGTGAATGAGATAATTATTTGATACGTTCAGTGACTATCAGTTTTTTTTTTTAATTTAATGGCCAATGGGGATAATGAATCGATATGTTCGGTGATCATCCAAAAATCTTTTAAGGTTTAATGGCCCATTCGATGACCAAGGCTTTATATTTGTTTCATTGACAATTCTAATTTGAAGGTAAATGTCGAACTTTAATTTTAATCAAACTCTTCATAGGATCACAATTACTAATTTTTTCGTCACTCATTTTTATAAATTATAAGCATTATGATGAAAAGCTATTCTTTATGGAAAATAGGATTAAACCCTTCCACGCTACAAAGTTGAATTTACAATAATTTTCTAGTTAGTCCATAAAGACCGTAATCCATATTCCAACACCATACAAACTAGTTACATGAAACACACCAAAAACAAAACCAAGTCACTCTTGAAAGAATTGAAATCAGCTGTGAAAAAAGAAAAAAAATATAAGAATTGTTGGTATATTTTCCTTTTTATTTTTATTAGGGGAAATAATAAAAGATTCGTTTGAGTCTTTGAGATGAATATATAAATAATTTATAAATAAATAAAATTTAATAATTTGTACTATAAAAATTCATTAAAATGTGTGTAATTTGTCTACTACCTGACGTGGAAAGGTCCAAACTGGTTGACTAAAAATGTTTCTCTAACTTGCGCCTCTCAGCGCAGTATGCACCCCTCCTCTCCACCTTCCAAAATCCTTGAGGCGTGCACTCAACGCACTTTTGAGTATCCTAGTCTCTCTCTCTAGAACCCCCCAAATCTCCGTTGACTGGAGTAATAAACCTCCCATCCATATATACACCCGTACATAATAAAACGGGATTTTTTCTACGGTGACCTACGTCTCAGTCTGTTGATTTTCTCAGAAGCGTCTGAATCTGGCTTTGGTGGTATCGAAGTCTTCACATTTGGGAAATTAGGGTTATAAAAGTCAGATTTGCTGATTTGGAGTTGTATTTTTCTTAATTTGTAGGTGGTGTTGAAACTTTGGAGCTCAAGCAAGATTTTAATCTACTTGAAGATTGAATGGAATGAATGATTGGGATGAGTAGTTTGAAGGTTTTCTTTGATTTTTCAAAATGTTGTGGTAGTTTAGTCGGATTTCTTTGAAGCAATGATATTTATAACAGTAGTTTGGGAAAATTGTGCTAAACTCATGATATGTTCTGTTTATTTGATTGCGTGAAGTTAGTCGTTTTTAAAGTTTAAAACTATGAAGAAATTGAGGTCAAGTGATGATCTCGACTCATATGGGGAGAAGGGCGTTATTAAAGATTGGGGAAGAAGGGAGGAGGATCTGGGTTTCAACCGATCATCTTCATCACACAGGAGCTCTTATTACAAGTCTTCTGAGAGTGGGAGAAAGGGTTTGTCTTCATCATCTTCTAGGTATGATCGGTTAGAAGATGATCGGGACAGTTCAAGATCGGTTAGAAAGTGGTCAAATTATGACATGGATGGTTATGATAGAAGGAAGAGCTATGATCGGCATAGAGAGGGGAATGAGAGAGGGATTTTGAGTTCTTCGCCTCGCGTTGGGTATGGCATGGATCGGATTCATCGATCTGAGAGCTTTTCAGGACCTCGGAGGGAGTTTCCAAAAGGGTTTAGGTCAGAGAGTAAAAGGTCAAGGAGGGAGGGGAGTGTTTCATCATGGCGAAAGTTTAGTGGGGAGAAAGATGGAGATGATGGAAACAGAGGTAGTGGTAGTGAGTTAGCTAGAGGAAATAGAGTGGAGTTGGAGGATTTTGGTAAGGTGAAATCCCCCAAGGGACCGAGAGATGTAAAGTCTCCTGCTTGGTCGAAGGATTCTGTCAGTGATCAGTCAAAGAGTTTTGAAGTAAAAAGAAGTGAGTGTTTGCCCGTGGATAGTGGCGCCCCTAGCAGTGAAAGGGAAGAGGGGGAGCTGGAACTAGACCCTGAACCCGTGCTTTTTCCTAAGCAAGCTGCTGGCAAATTGAAATCCTCTCAGATGGAGCTCCTTCATGAACATTACAATCAGAATAAAGTTTTGCAGCAAAAAGAAAATTCCTCACCTTTAGAAATGGAAGATACGAGTAAAGTGGGTAGTCATGAGGAGCCAGCAGAAGTTGAAACATTGAAAGATGTTCAAGACATAACAAATATAGTTAACGAGTCGCCAGATGGTAAGAATAGTTCACTCCTGGGGATAAGCGGAAGTGCAGACAAAAATGAGGCCACAGGAGATAATAGTAGAGGTGATGATGAAGAGGAGTCTAGAAGAGGAAGCCATGGTAAAGAGGATGCAGACACTACATTTGCTGAAAAGCCAAAAACTGTACAAAAGGAACAAGGGGAAGATAAAGGTACTGATCTTGAAGATAAGGCTGCTAGTGCTGATATGTCAAAATTAAGCAGGGCGTTTGCTGAAGAAATTGAAGTGCCCTTGAAAGAGGAAACAGCCCAAAATTTGAAGGATAAGGGCAAAAATATTGCTGTCTCGCCCTCAAACAGCACCCACATATTGGAAACCGGTTTGGAGGTTGAAAACAAATCAAGGGGCCTCATAACATTCAAAGACACTGGTTTTGAAGGACTGAGTACCAGAGGATTTGAATTTTTCTCCAATGATCCAGTTAAGAAGCAAGAGAAAGTCAAGCAAGCACCTCAGAACACGCATAAAGATGAAAAACTTGCTCTTGACCTTTCTCTTAGCTTGCCAAATGTTTTATTGCCTATCGGTGCTCAAAATAGAGGCCAGGATCCTGGTTCTCCTAGTCATGCAAGGAGTGCTCAATCCTTTCCTAGCACATTTCACACAAATTCTGATGGATTTACTGCATCAATGTCTTTTTCGGGATCTCAGCAGTTCACTCACAACCCTAGCTGTTCACTGACTTACGATGCATATGATTATGAGAAATCTGTTGGTAGTCGGCCCATATTCCAGGGAGTGGATTGGAAAGCTCTGTCTTCAGATGACCTTAAGAACAAAGAAATTCCAATCTATGAAGGCACTTCTATTGGAAATAGCCTGCATCATCAGTCTCAAGCATCTCAAGGAAATTCAAGTGGACAACCTGTGTTACAACATCTAAGAGTTGTAGAGGGAAGTTCAAAACCCATTGGCCTAGATAGTCAATTCAGTGTTAATAAACATTTACGTGGAGCACAATCTCAGCAACTAAATGACATTAGATCTCCTTCACGGAGTATTGGATCTCATGGAAGTAGACCTGGACATAGCAAAGACAGGAGACCAGTGATGAAAGATACAGATAATGCTAGTTTACATTGGATCAGTAATCCAGAGGGAAAAGAGCAAGCACTGGTGGTTGGAGCTGACTTTGCTGAGTCGATAGTTACTATGATGGTCGCTGAGCCACTTCATATGATGGCCCAGAAGTTTAACGATATGACCAAACAACACGTGACATGTGTGAAGGAGTTTGTTCGTGAAATCATATTAAATCCAGGTAAGCAGTGGCAGTTGAGTGCTTTGCGGAAAGCACTGAGAAACAGACAAGATATTACCCTGGACATGCTAGTGAAGTTGCCAGTTAGTCAATTGGAGATCTTGGTGGCTCTAAAAACCGGTCTGCAGGAATTTCTTCAGCAAAATTTCAATGTAGAATCTTCTGATTTGGCAGAGATATTTCTAAATTTAAGATGTAGGAATCTTACTTGCCGGAGTCTTGTGCCTGTGGATGAATGTGATTGCAAAATATGCACACAAAAGAATGGTTTTTGCAGAGAGTGCATGTGCCTCGTGTGTTCAAAGTTTGACATGGCATCAAACACATGCAGTTGGGTTGGATGTGATGTATGTCTACATTGGTGTCACGCCGATTGTGGATTACGGGAATCCTATATTAGAAATGGGCGTAGTGCATCGGGTGCTCAAGGCACTACAGAAATGCAATTTCACTGTGTTGCCTGTGATCATCCTTCTGAGATGTTTGGCTTTGTGAAGGAAGTTTTCCAGAACTATGTCAAAGAATGGACAGCAGAAACACTTTCCAGAGAACTTGAATATGTGAGAAGAATATTCTCTGCAAGTGAGGATTCGAGAGGGAAGCAACTGCATGAGATTGCCAGTCAGATGCTGTCTAAATTGGCAAATGGAGCCTACCTTCAAGAGGTGCGGAATCATATTCTGGGTTTCCTTAATGGTAAGCACTCAATGCCTATCAATTAGTTTTCCTATGTTTACTTATACGAAAAGAAGATTCCTTTAGCACATCACGTACATTATTAACATTCAATACCCATATAAAATTAGAGATATAGTAACATACTTTTAACTTTTAATTTGATTCAGATGTTTGGAAAATTCTTTCTTGATTTATTGGTTTTCGTGTTGGTTATTGTTCTTGTCTAGTATACACATGCAAGTCACACTATGGGTCCTTTGGCACTGCTTCTTTTTACACTTTTTGTAGAAGAGCTTCGTGAGGAAGTTGCCTTGTGAGCTTCCTTTAAAAGCTTTTTAGCCTGACAAAGCACGTTTAGAAAATTATCAAGGCAGATCCAAAAGCAGCTTCTTAGTCACATAAGAAGCCTTTGGCTTTTCAAAACCCTACCAAATCTATATAAATTTCTGATGGTCGAATGTTTTTGACTCCTATATTTCATTGCTCTTAGTTTTTTGTGGAATTCTGCACGCAGAAGTGGTCTTATCATGCTTTGAAATTTATGCTGTAGAGGGATAAGCATTTGTCTTATTGTACTTCTGAATTGAGAGCTTGTGTGTCTTATTAATATGTCAATAGCTGCCTTTTAATTTTCCTACCTACATGAGCATCACTAGGTACTAAGTAACCGCTGCATTTTTACCACGTGTTCTGCCATCTTACTTGTTATGCTGATTAGTTAAAAATATCTCGTAATATTGTCCTTGAAAATTCTTCTTGTGATATAGTTAACGTCTTTTGCTGCTACCGTTGCTTGCATAAGATATATGGACTATCTTTTTGTAGTGTCCTCTCACATGATAATTAATTGTTAACCCCCTTAGTTCAATGATCTTAGATTACATATAATTATTACGAGAGAGAGAGAGAGAGAGAGAGAGAGAGAGAGAGAGAGTACGTATATTCACGCTGTCTTAACGAGGGGAACATCTAATATGCCTTTGGAAATTATCTTTTGGTGCTGCTGGTTACCTTTATCTTTTATGTGACTCCTTGCCAATTGTAATTGTACGTATATTCACTCTGTCTTAACGAGGGGAACATCTAATATGCCTTTGGAAATTATCTTTTGGTGCTGCTGGTTACCTTTATCTTTTATGTGACTCCTTGCCAATTGTAATTTTTGGCGACTTTTGGCCAATAATGTATTTATTAATCTTTGGAAGTTCACAGCAACTATAAATTACTTTTAAGACTTTTCAGTGTAAGACTTTTTGTAACGAGAAAATGGGTGTGTTGGTGGTGTGGGAGGATACCAAAAATATTACGAGTTAAACGAGGACATGCATTTAATAAATTAATTTGGTCAAAATTACTTGTCACTATTTATAGTCAAATTAATTTTTATAAATTATAAAATTCCTTAAATTTGTTAGTGCTATTGTAAATATTTATTTTACATTTTTTACTTTTAAACTGCATAAAAAAATATGTAGCCCATGTTTGGTAGGGATTATAATCAGATTCTTAGTAGATTTTGATAAAAGTTGATGAAGTTTGTGGTGGAAAAGTTATGGATTCTATAAAATATGTAGTTAAAATTAATTGTTGATTTTTATTTAGATTAAAAGTCAGATTTTAATCACTACCAAACATTGGCGTAGTATATCTTCAATGAGTTCTTAAATTGTGAATAATTAAATAAACTTTTTAATATTTTAATTTTTAAACATAACTTTATTTGTTATAAAATATATATCATTCATTAGTTGGTAATTATTCTCTGTTTATGTATGGCACAATTTATTTGAAAATTGTTTTTTCTCAAAAATAATTTTCAATCACAACACCTCCAAAAAAATAGCTTCGCATGTGGATTCATAATTTTTCATATTTTTTTACCCCATATTCTCCAAAAAAATCGTTTTTCACTTCAAATAATCTCTTTCAAACACTTAATTTCATCTAAACATGAACCGGAAAAGTTACAACCAGACTAGACTTTTCGGTTCGACCGAACAAATCGGAATTGGACTGAAACTGTCCAATCTAATTTTGATGACATTGATTTTTCTCTATCAACTAATGAATGATATATTTCATTAAAAAATATGACTATTTTTACAAAATTTGAATAAAAAAAAGTTCGTTTAATTCTTTATTTATGTTAAAACTAAAAATAAGTACACTTAGCTCTTGTGTGATTCCCATTTTTGGAGTAAAATGTATTATAGAATTGTAATTTTTTGGAATGTGTGGTTAAAAAGTAAGGAAAAGTTTTTGAAATACGTATATAATTATTTTATGGGAGGATGTGTTGTTGAAAATGAGTTTTGAAAGAATATATTATTGAAAAAATGAGGCTCAAACAAGGGCTTAATTTTAGGATATATATATATATTTGAAAGTAAAAAACATGAATTTACCGGACAAACAAATTTATTGAATATTATATTTGTAAAATATATTTTGGCTATGAAAGTGTAAATTAAGCCCTTATTTTGAGCCACATTTTTGGAATGAAAATGTATTTTGGAATTGTATTTTTCGAAGAATGTGTGGTTCAAAAATCGAAAAAAATTTGGGTTTACGTGTAAAATTATTTTACGGGAGAATGTGGTTGATAATGATTTTTGGAAAAATAAGATTTTGAAAAAGTGGAGGCCAAATATTGGCTAAATTTAACCGGATTAATTTATTGAATGCATATCCTAGTGAGCTCATATTTTTTCCACATTATCCCACACTGTTGACATACGCATTTTCTCATTAAGAAAAGTCTTACACTTAATTAATATAGAGATGCTGTGAACTTTCAAAAGATTAATGAATACCCTATCAATCAAAAGTCATCGAAAATTATAATTGCTAAGGAATCCCCTTTAAATAAAGGTAACCTGCATGGAATGAATAATTTCAAAGGCACATTTCATTAAAAGCGATCGGATGTTCCCCTTGTTAGCAATTGCTAATTCGTCTATTTTACTCTATCTTCACTTTACCTTCACAAGTGAAACCTATACATGCCCTGTTTGAGCCCCATTATTTGGCAAAGAATGCACTTTTGAATGGTGATTGATGGAGAATGCGTGATTAAAAACTGAGGAAATGTTTTGGATTTGCGTGTAATATTATTTTATTGAAAAATGTACTATTGAAAAGAAGAGAAAATATATTTTGAAAATAATGGGGATCAAATAAGGACATAGTTTTGCAAACAACGTGAATATGTACACTCTCCTTCACTCTTCTCTCTCACATGATAATTATATTTGTAATCTAAGATAACTAAATTGTAATTACTTCCTCCGTCCCATAAATGTAGTCATATTTCTTTTTTCACACACATTAAGAAAATATAGTTCATATAGTTGAAATGATAAATTTGATAAATTTTACTATCATTTTTCCTAATGTACCTCTACATTAATGCAATCAATATTTAAGATAATTAAACTATTATTGGTAATTGTCATTGTTTAATGCAAGAATTAATTAACATTCCAAAGTCATCCAATACAAATACAAATGAATAAATGTCATGGAAGAAGAAATGATTTTTTTGGTTTTTAATTTATTGTTCCAACTACAATTGAATAATGAAATGATTTATATTTGTGATAACAAAGCACATTAAATAGGGGCATATTAGGAAACTAATATATTAACTACACCCTCAAATAAGAAATAAGACTATAATTTGGGACATACTAGAAAAAAGAAAACAAGATTATTTTTATGCGATGGAGGGATTAATTGTTAACCCCATCACCACTGCTCGGGAAGAAAAATGTAAAAATAAAAATAAAAAAATGAATAGAAAGAACCGGGAAAAGGATGAGTTGGTAATTACTTGTCAGTATTTGCTATTGAGTAGTCCCGGATAATATAAGTACCACAAAATGATAATGTTCGACTCTCTCTCTCTGTCTCTCTCTCTCTGGCTTGGATAATCTTTGTTCTTCTTCCACGGCATATTGTGAATAATGTCTTCACTTGCATCTCTTCAATTGCAGAATCTGATTTATTCAAGCCTGGCTTCGTTTCCACTGAATCCAGGAAAGATTTGTCAACAAAAAATAAAGAAGACAGTAATGGTATTGCCGGGGCTGGCCAAGGACTCACGTGGCTAAAATCTGTTTCTTCAGAAAAGGCTCCTCGTTTGGAAAAATCTGTTAGTTTACTTTCCAGTTTTGATGGCAATAGGGATGATAAATACAAAATGAACATGGATTTACGAACTGAGAAAGAATCCATTTATGATGAATTGGAGAGCATTGTGAGAATTAAGCAGGCAGAAGCTAAGATGTTTCAAGCACGTGCTGATGATGCAAGAAGAGAGGCTGAAGCTCTAAAGCGCATTGCAGTAACAAAGAATGGAAGGATTGAAGAAGAATATACAACCCGAATTGCAAAACTGCGATTGACCGAGGCGGATGAGATGCATAAACAGAAATTGGAAGAGCTCCAGCGTCTTGAAAGAGCATATCAGGAATACTTCAATATGAAAATGAGGATGGAAACGGATATCAAAGACCTTTTACTGAAAATGGAAGCTACACGAAGGAATCTCAAGATGTGATGCATTAACGGAGTGTTTTCTTAGTTAAAATTTCACCGGGCTTTTTTGTCCCTCACTGTAATTGACGGAGTGTTTTCTTAGTTAAAATTTCACCGGGCTTTTTTGTCCCTTGCTGTAATTGTAGTGCTCCACTATTTGTAGTTGATTTGTGGGTGACTTCCAGTTTCATGATTTTAAGTGCTAACCAGATTATGTACAGTTTTTCCAAACTCTATATGTTTTTCAAAGAACACGTAGATATGAACGGGGGATGAAGAAATTAGAGACCCAAGTTTATCATCTGATGGTTGCTGTTATAGCTATTCAAATCTTCCTTTCATTTTTCATGTTTTTCGAGACAGGTTGACGAGATCTTCTCATGCAGGGAATAAAAGTCAAATTGAGATGTCTCATTAATCATTGACAATGATATGAAAACTCTGAAGACAAATTGGAGTTCTGTTTTATCAGAAACTGAAGAAAGACCTTTCTAAATTATTTGTAAAAGAATTGCATTTGATATATTATAATCCATATGTCCTCGAGTCCTAATCTTCTTCTGTTGCCTCTCATGAATTCTCAGTACAGGTATATAGTATGGGAGCTTAGCCACTCAAATTCTTTAGCATCCTGGAACCAAGTGACCACAATTTTTGTTGGTCATCTTGGAGATATTGGATGACCTTTTCCTTTCCTATTTTCTTTAAGAATCCTCAAAACTGAATCTATCGATGAGTTGATAAATCGTGGTCTGGTTGGCGATGGCTCTTCACCACCCTTAATGGACTGTGGTGCCCAGCCACGGTTTTGACCGGGCATGCCAAATACATAAGCCGTGACTGAGCAAGGCCATCTTGGTCCAAGTGAGGCGCGACATCCCTTCTATTGCTTTGTATAAATAGAGGTAAAACAAAGGCTAGACGTTCATGCTGGACGAGTTTTGGAGTGGATAAAAACTTGCAATAACAAAATAGACCGATAATTATACAGTTATAGGTAGAATGTAGTACAAAGAAATTGCTACACAGAAACAAAAACAAACAAACAAACAAGAAATGAAGGCAAAATGTTACAATGAGATCTTATTTTTCAGCTTCCAGAAATTCTATATCTATGGCAACAGTCGGCCTTTAAGAAAGTGCCAAGGCCCGGTTCCGGTTCCCATCCTGCAGATAGGAAATCAAAAGTTTAAACCAATTTTCTCAAATTGATGATTGTTTATTTGCATGCCAAGCTGGATAGATTACCTCCAAACGCCAGCAAATGCTCTCAATCCCATATAAATTGTTAAAGCAAACCATATTCCAATGAAACCATTAGTTTTGGAGAGGAAAAACAGGAATCCAATGCTTACTGCTGACACTAGAACCTGAAAATGGAAGATTATAATCAGAAACTTTCTTATTGTATACTTAGAAAATTACAAAATTAACTAAGCCATTTTCTGATAAATTTGTTTCAGCTAAATGAATCCTTTTTCACCCCCTCCTCGATCTGTATTACATATTCTACTGAGACGGCTTAACTCTACGCAGACAAGAGGTGATAAATTTACCATGGAATATGCAGAATATGCAAAATCAGATGCTCCAAAATTAACACCATCAAAAACAAATGCCAATGAATTTATTGGCTGTGTAGCTGCAACAAACTGATGATAAAACAGAGGTTAAAATATAAAAATGTAGGCACCATATATAAATTCAGCCAGTGTATGAGGAGATACCGGGATGCCTATAGATATAATGTGAATAACACTTTTGTCCTTCGAAAAAATTCCAGATCCAAATTGCAAACCAAGTCCCACAAAAAGAGCAAGTCCAAGTCCCAGTACAAAACCCATCTGCATGAGAGGGGACACATCTCATTGTAGGTAAATATTGTCCTTTTTAAGAAACTAAAAGCAAACAGAGGATCTATCACTGGTCTGATAGGCAGCAAGAATTTTTATGTTGTGTTGATGAAGTTTGATCCGTGCACACTACATTTGTGAAAAAATTATAGCAATCCCTTTCCTAGGAAGCATGGCAAATTGCTCGGCAAATCCACTATCTGTTTTATGTCAAGTAATATGTGGAGTGGATTTTGCTACTTGTACACAAAAATGATATATAAGCGGTTATTGAAAATGATGTGGAGGGAAAAAATTGGATGAAAAAATTGATTGTATTTTAAATTGGCAAATGATAGAGTGCCATGTGACATTATATAATCTCTTATATAAATCTTAATATACATATAGCAAGATCCATGTGGAGTAATTGTCGATACAACAGAAAAGCAAGTCTATATCCCAATAAAGCATTAAAGTAGCTTGTTGAGACGATCTTTGCAAGAAAACTTTATTTTTCTCATGGAGAATTTGTAAAATTGAGCATTTTACAATTCTTGATCAGCCAATACAATAGTCTCTAAAACACGGACGAGAATATATGCTATTTGGATGAAATCTACCTGGAGTACTCGTGCTGCAGCAGCTGTTGCTTTCTGATAGTCTTTCTCAGCAAATGCACAAGCAAGGATAGCCTGGAAGAGTGGCAAACAGATAAAAGTCTGATAGAATCAACCAACTGTACTAAAAATAAAACGATGCTACTTGGATTGATTTCGTTGATGAACGAAAAGCTAATGAAACTCCACTTCAGTATCAATATTTGAAGAATGTGATTTCTAACTCCCCGTCTGCTTTCTGTTATCGGTTCCAAGGACGAGGTTTGCGATAGGTTGAAATCCAATATAAAAATATGTCAAATGTTATGACACAAATCCCAATTTCTATTTCATATTGGGTTTTAATCCAACTACGAGTAATCTGGAGCTTAAAGACTAGCTTTTTCTTCGAAAGTTTACAATGAGGAGAGTAAGTGTAGGCATTCGACCTTCATTAAAGCCACAATTGTAAACGACTGGCAAGAAGTAGTTTCTCTTGATCTTATAATTTAACTGATTTATAGCCTACCCTGATTTTGTTTGATTGCTTTCAGATTTTGCTTCTTTAAACTATACAATTAGGAGATAAGATTCAGTAGGTCCTGAAATATTTTTTACCTGTCCCGCAACAGCCAAACCATCAGCAAGAAGTGATGATGTCATCCAGACCTGCAAGCATATCTGGAAGGCAGCCATAGGTGTTGGACCTAGCCTTGCAGCCATTGATGCAGCCAAAGTCACACAGATAGTCACAGCTATAACTCTTGCTAGTAACAGAGAACCTGTGTCAAATCACATTACAAAATGTCAATGGAGCATATTCGACTGAAGTGATAAAAAAAAATTACTAACGGACTAACCATTCTTGAGGAATCTACTGAACTGCAAATCTCCAAGACTTGGAGATAATAGATTAACTTGTTTCATCAATTTGCATAAGAGAATCACGGAGATCAAGTACCTGCAAAAACCAGTTTTCTTGTGAGGAAAATTTTGCATTAAAGATTCCATGAACAAACAACAATATGCTATTGGAGGAAACTGGGAGAATGCTAGACAATGCTGTATAATATATAGCACACAATATTTCAACTTGTTTTTAATCCTTTAGTCCTATTGAGCAATGTAGAGTCTACCTTACTAAATATATCTAGAGTAAAATAAATACAGTATGGATACAAAACTTACTGAGAAAGGACGTGTGCAATGGCTGCACCGCTCACACCCATATGGCACACAAATATAAGAATTGGGTCCAAAATTACGTTTGCCAAATCTCCTGCAACTATTAGCAGAAAGAAAAAACTACGTTAAGATTGGGTATCTGAACTTCAGGAGATAAAATTTAAATTTTGTTCTATAAAAATGTAAAAACAAGAACTTAAAGTTGTTTACTATGTATCTGGAAGAGGGAAATTAGCAAAGGATCTTCCATTTTTCACTTGTCCGGGCAAGATTTGGCCATATTAATCAGAAGATTTTTTTTATTTTAAAGCCATTCAGAAGATTATAGTATTAAGGTTTCATGTGGAATTTCTTGTAAGATGTGACAAAAATACAATCAAGGGATTCAAATTGTTTGCTAAAAAAGGTTCAAATGGTCATATTCCCATTGCTTAATATGAGAAAAATTCTTATTTTGATTGAAAGAATAAAGAAAGAATGTACAAACAAATAAAAAAGAAGAAAAAGAAAATTTAAACTTCCAAGAGTAATTGTCTTACCAGTGGCAAAAAGAGGAGTTTTAGTGTCCTTGAAACCTCGAAAGACTCCTTGCATGGCCAAAGAAAGAAGAACAGCTGGAGCCCCAAGTGATCTCAGTGTCAAATACTTCAGTGCAGGCGCTAGCATGGGAGATCCCTATTTCACCATTTCAAAAGGTTTATCAATTAAAAAACCCATGAATACTCTGTGCAGGCAAATGTTTATTATTTCACCTAAGAATGCACGATGAGAAGGTACTATTAAAAATAAAAGATAAACAAACTGGGAAAGTTTTATTCGGCCATCAAGTTTTAAACGTCAGAGGAGAGAGATAGAGAGACTAATGACATATTTGAATATTAAGATACCATATGTTGATACTTACAGATTTTACACCCATGAAACCTAAGAACGGTTTTGCTAGAAATATGAGGACCATGGTCTGAAGGAGTCCAAGCACACAACCAAGAAGTAGCGCAGTTGATGCAGAAGGGATGTTTCTGCGTTCACTACTGAGTTTTCCATTCTTTGGATTGCTGCTGATAACATCCGGAGACTTACATGTAGTAGTTCTGAAATCTGCCGAAGAAAAAACACGAGTTGTTAGGAAATAACACCGATTATCTTAAAGAACTCTAACCAACAGAGAACATTAATAAATTATAATTTTGGAATCTAAGTATTTATCGGTGACACTTTGAAATTTAGTTTCTACAACCATTTCAAATCCTTTCGATTTTGGGTGGAACTACAGGTAATTGATTGGGCTGACCAGCCTTACTGACACTCAGCATATCCTGTCTAGTCTAGAGGCCTAGTATGGCTGGCCAATCCAATATTTTAAAATTATTTCTGAAAAGAAATTTAAAAAATCCATGTCGGCAGGCTGCCTCGAGCTTGGGAGCAATACTACACTTACCAAAAATGGTTGACAAACGCTTTGACCGAACACTCACAATAGGGGGAGGACCCACATTTTTTCCCATTTTTTATTCACGCGGTACCCTGCACGCATGTGAGAGGTCGTCGAACTCGTTGTCATCCATTTTCGGTACAAATGGAAAAACCCCGAGCTTGGATGGACCAACCCAAATTTAGACATCTAGGTGGAATTGTCAGAAGCTCACAGGTAAAACTGTTTTCACATCAGTTGGAACAAAGCAAGGATATGTGAAGGAATATTATTATTATTATTATTTTTTTTTGCGTGTGTGTGTGTTCAACATGCCAAACACTAATTTAAACCTACTACTTGGAAGTGTTGGCAGTATTTAAAACACAGGCATTTTCTGTTCTCTTTGTGTTTCAATTTTGTGTTTTTAGTTTTGAATTCATTTTGAGTTTTGTATTTTGAGTGTCCATTTTGAGATTGTTGAAAATGTGTTTTTTTTTTGGCATTTTGAAAAATTATTTTGAAAACACCCAAAATGCATTTTGAAAATTTTGGCTTGATTATAACTGAAAACACCCAAAACGATTTGTCGTTTTGAGTTTTCTTTGTAATTTTTAACTCGTTTTCAAAAACACGTTTTCGAAAATAGGAAAGAGAACGCGTTTTCACTATTTTAGAAATCGAAAACAGAAAATGGCTTGAAAATTGTAAAGAGAACATGCCTTTTGGAAGCTGGAACATACCATCTTCCGAAGCTAACTCTTTTGTTTCATCTTTTTCTGCTGAACCCTTCTCTAAGTTTTCGAGCACGGCATTTTCCGGCACCAGCTCATCCGCTTCTTTGTTCTTGGAAGTACCTTTCTCTGAGTTTTCGCTTGTTAGTTTTTTATCACTAATTCTTTTAACCGTATCTTCCTCAGCAACGAAAGAAGTTGTGATACTAACAAGTGGGAATATGGTAACCTTAGAGGCTTGATTAAAAATAGCAATCGAAACTCCTACAGCAGCAATTTCCACCGGACCTGTGCAATAACAGAAACTAAGTAAAAAAAAAAAAACAAATTTGGAGCACAAACATTTCTTCAAGAAATTTGTAAACTGAAATGAGATGTCATCTATAGGTTATAGATAACTTCAACTTTAACAGTTGAGCACTTGAGCATGTTTGGTACTCGATATTAGACCATTACGAGTTATGAATGTTGAAGGAATTAGACAGCAGAAAATTATATGGCTCGTTTTGCATGGTGAATTTCACAACAGTATTAAGAAAGAAAAAGAAGCTAAACCATTGAACTACAACGTTTGTGCAGTCCTCACCAGTCTGTAACATGTCCATATAGTTGATGATTTTCTTTTACTGATTTTACTTTTGGCTTTAGAAGATCACACCATTCACAAAATGATTTACTCTGGTGATACAGAGAATTCTAAAATATACAAGAAGGCATACCTAAATGGCCAATGAATGCTGTATCAATTAAAGAAGCAATAGGATCAGCAGCTAATGCCAGAGCTGCGGGGAATGCAATGCGTAGTATTTCCAGCCCAAGATCATCCCTTTTGAAAACATATCTGCACACCCAACAGAAGGCGAAATAATAAAATAAAACAAGAATTATACCTTCTGATAAAGTGTAAAAGTATTTGATCAATCCTAGTCTCAATTCATTTTTCTAAATGTTTTTATTTTCTACTTTTATTTCCAGTACTAATTATTTTACAACGAACAAAGCCGACCTTTTTCTTGTAAGTGTGACTTATAGCAGATATATATAGTTTGGCTAGCCTGCATGATGGAACTTGAAGTAAGGGATAACAACATTCATTCACCTAGCATCTTTGAAGAAGACAAAGAGTGGCATTGTCCACTCTCTCCCAGAAGGTAGTATACCAGCATCGTTGGCCATGGTTATAAACTGCCGGACAGATTGAAAGAACAATGACTTGCAGAAGGCAGGAGCACTTGGCGAGCAACTCTTCCAAACCAACAAAATATTACACCTGAAAATGTTCAGTTTTTATCATTAAAGTTTTGCAGTATGCAGCAGCCTGAGTACATAGCCTGAACGGTACAAATCAGGATGTGCACAAGGGGAAATGGTTTTACATGTCAATCAAAGATCCACATAAAGGTCTAAACAACTGGAACGAGCAAAACATCACAAAGGGGAGGAACATGAGCAAGCTTTATGATTAGTAGGTATGAACTTGAGAAATAAGAAGGATAAAGGAAGTATGCACGTGAAATATAAACCGCACTAGCTAGCGACAAACATATGGTTGCATATTTAACGACGGTGGCAACTTTTTTAGTTAAGGATTTAGGTGAGTACTTGACATTATGATTGACAAGATTTTGGTTTCTTTTTAACTTAATAGAGTCCAAAGTTTCCTATTTATCTTACCAAAAATGACATTGCTGTATAGGATAACATATCAGATATATATCTCTCGATAAAAACCTTTTTTAACTTTAACTTGTAAACTACCAGTTGGAGTTTAAAAGTTGCATTCCCTAACAAAGAAAAAAGGGGGAGAAAACCCAACAAATCTCACAGTACTTCTTTTGGGAGTGAAACATAAACTTTAAAGAAGATAATTCGTCACAGAGTAGCTGATGAGATAAACAGAGGACTATAGTCTACTCAGCTCAGAGCAAGCGGGGTTGTGGTAGCAAAGGAAGCTAGTGTGTGCGCGACTTTATCCCTATTTCTAGGCATAAAGCTACATGTATCACACCATATCTCCTTTAGAAGCGCTACAATATCATATATTAAACCACCGTTGGGAGCAAATATATCATTCGAATTCAGGCTATAAATAAACCTACTAGTATCTCACTTATCCTCTTTCATTTAACATAATTTATTAAGCATTAGCCAGTTAATTCTGAATCTTTCATTTCAAGAAATCACAGAAAAATCACCTATAAAAAAAAAAAAAACAACAACTTGCCAACATTGACAGAGGGAATGAATAATTAAGCAAGAAATCACTATATTTATGTATCGCGAAAGAGGATAAAAATGTAGTTTAACCAAAAAAGTCTAAATGATGATATTTATCTCGGGTCTATGTGACAATGAGCCTTTAATTCATAGTTCAATGAAGTTGTGACGCTGCACTTAAGACTGGCGATGGTGATGATTACCACTTGTGATGAATAGTATTATTATTCAAAAAGGAAAAAGATACATGGCCAGGGCCACATAGGGGGCGCCACTACAGACCCTGCCCATGTAGCAGCCCTCTATTCATAAACGTAACATGAGTTAGGAGTTACACAAACCTTCCTCAGTTCTAGATTCCCCAGGTAATCTTCTAGAAATATACACAACGAAAGAGAAAGAAAAAGATTAAAAAAAAAAAAAACATTGTGTCCATGCGTGCATTAACCTTTTCTCATTACAAAGATTCCTCTAGTCTCTCCCCAGTTAGCCTTAAACCCTTAAATTCGTTTAAAAGCTACTGATCAAAACAAAAGAAATCACTGAACTCAAGAAATTCTTTAGTCTCCAAATGCCAATCTCAAGCCAGAACAAGAACAATTATTCATCTTTTTAAAAGCTTTTAATCTGAGATGGTTCATTATAGACTACAGTACTGTCTAAAAAAAACCCATTATTTATTTATAAAAATTGAGCACTTAATCAACCTTTATCATGCTCATATTGAAGATAAATTTTGACTAAACAAATTTGTTGGTTCAGGAAAATTTAAGCATCACAAAAAATTCCTGAATTCTTATGCTACTTTTCTTCAATTTTCGTTTTCTTGTTTGATTGAATGTCTAGACAACATGAAAGACAAATACCCTACTGCAAGTTTAAGGTTTTTAGATGTACCTGCGCTGATGCTTCTTGTCTGGTTAAACCCACTTATAAGCAACAAAAAATTAATTGAACACAACATTTTTTCTTTTAATTATTATGGAGACTACTACGTGGAAAGTGACAGGTACAGTCGACGACTCAATATCTTTATATGTGTCCTACTATCACATTGGAACCATCGAAGACAAATGTTTATGCACAATCTTTTATAAAACTAAATTAATAATTTTCAATTCATAACCTTGAGGGTTGCTCAATTGGTCAGACTTTGAGTTTGATCCCAATGGTCATCAGTTCCAGTTCCTCAGGGCGACTAAGGTGAATACCCGACCGTAAACTTTAGGGCCCCGTGAAATTAGTCGAGGTGCGCGCAAACTGGTCCGAATATCCATGGTTATCAAAAAAATAAAAAATTTCAATTTGCCTAAGCACATGAAGTTTCCTCTTAGGTAAATAAGTTTCAAGCTAAATAAATTTTGTCTTGCATGGCTGAAGAGAAATCCAAATACGTAGTATAGTTGGAGATATTAATTGAGTTCGACTTCGCACTGTTGTGAAAAGGAAATAACTTAAAGTCATAAAGTAGGTTGAGCCTTTTGTTTAAGGTGGGCTGAGTCATGTTTGGCTTGATTTGACACGTCAACTCAACTTGAGGTTTCAAAAGCATTATAAAATGTCTCAATTCGTAGGATAAAAAGCACAACTTTTTTTTTTTTTTTTAGCGGAAGGAGGGTGGTACTTTTGATATTTTATTAATATATCATCACTTGTGGTAGAGGAAAATATAATCGTCGCCTGAGAGATTCGAACTCTCGCAGAAAAAAAAATCAATGCAAAGGTAAATAATATATATAGTGTGTGTTTGGTAGGAATTTTTGGAGAAAAAATTGATTTTTGAATAATAATATTTCCCTTCAATCAAAGGCTTGCTTTCATATATTTCCCCAACTTCAATCTTGCTCGTCTCACAAATTCACAATCAGATGATAAAATTAATCATTAATTAATTAGCAAAGGCATCCAATGTCTCATAAAAAAAAAAAAAATTGAATTGGACACAGGAGAAGACTGGATTATGACACTCTGCCGTCTCGTCATTGACGAGGCACTCAGATTCACCTGCTTTGATTTTGGGTGTCCTCGTCGTGGAATAGATTTTGTCTCACGTCGTGAAATTCTTCGAAAGCCTAATAAGTGACTACGTTTCTTGTTTCCCTAATAAAATTCTACGGTTAAATTTGCCCAAAATATCTGAGGCCCCCCTAAAATTTTGGGCTTGAGGCGTGGGCCTCATTTGCATATGTCCAAAACCAGGCCTGCTTGTTGCATAAGATTATGCATCTTGAGAGGAAGAAATCCGTCTAAGATAACAATTCGTCACTTTTCAACCGACCAGTTTTGTGCTAAGTTATTTCTAGTTTGAACTCGATTATATCCCTAAAATATTTTCACTTCTCTTGTTATTTTGTGCACTTGTATAAATGCGTTTAGCCTTTTATTTCATCCTTGTGCACATATACATTACCTAATTTTTTCTGACAACATGCACCTCTAGAAGATCATATAATAGCATATATGACATAGTCTTCATGTTTCTAAGACAAAAAAATGGAAAAAACAAGGAAGAGAGATAAAATGGCTAAACATAATAACAAAAACATTCAAACAAACTATAAGCGTGTCATTTACATGCACGAAAGAAGTAACATGTATTTTCTTGAAAGTAAAGAAGCTTAGCAAAGTACTACTCACCTTTCCCAAGTGGAGTGTGTGCTCTCACCAATTCTTGGCGACAAATCCCAACCAAACATGCGACCCTTTAAATACCATTGGGTTCGCTCCCTTTCCCTTTCCCTTTCCCTATCAATATGAAGTTGACACTAAAGTGAAAAAGCATTGGCACTTAAACAAATAGAATGCATTTTGTTTTTCCTAATTGTTCTACGTCACTCTCAACGACTAAAGTGGGATCGTTAACTAAAATTGAGATGGATTGAATAGAGCTAAGCCCTGTTTGGTGGGGATTAAAATTAGTTTTTGAGTAGATTTTGATAAAAGTTGATGAAATGTGTGGTTGAAAAGTTATGTGTTCCATAAAATGTGTGGTCAAAATTAGTTTTGAACATGATCTAAATCTCCAAATGATTAGTCATTAACAAGTTGCATCCATTGAGATGACATTTGACCTTGGGCCGGCGGGCGTGGACCTTCCAAAGGTTTGAAATCTCAGTCGGTCCTTGTTTGATAGAGATTAAAATAAAAATTTTAATAGATTTTGATAAAAGTTGATAAAATGTATGATTGAAAAGTTGCAAAACCCATAAAATATGTTGTTATAATTAATTATTGACTTTACTGAGATTAAAACCTAAATTTTTATATTTACCGAATAGGGGCTAAGTATGATTTATGAATGAAAAAATTTTGTTGTAGACCTTGTTTAAATTGATTTTAACGTATTAAATATATTATTAAAATTCAAATTTGAAATATATATCTCTCGTGCATCGAGATTGTATCGTCATTGTCACCACTTTTAAGAAAAAAAAAAGTTATAATTTCGAAGAAATTCAAGCCCTAGTAATTGTGATTAATGCTCTAAAAGTGGAATTCCATCACTCCTTTCAGGTAATAATATTTTATAGGTTGGATAAGTATATTGTTTTTGTTTTTCTTTGTTGCCTAAAATTGAGCGACTCTAATTGGTTGTGTTAGAACCTTTGCAAAATATGGGGCACGTTGGAATCCCAATAACCCATGTCTGCTGGTCCCTACAAATTACCTAATTTTTTCCACATGGAGCTCGACAGGGACGGATCCAGGACCGGATCACAGACCGGGCTAATACGTAAAAAAAAAAAAAATTTACACATGAATTTATTTAATTTTTTTTTTTTTTATATCCGTCCCTGGAGCTTGAGATTTTATCTAGATAGTATCATGCATTTAAAGTTAGGGTTGGACAACGAAATCGTCAAACCGTAAAATCGAACCAAAATCGTTTTTTTGAAGTCATTGGTTTGGATCCACATAGATCTATCGATGATTTGGTTTTGAACTGAACCAAACAGTTTCAGAGTGATTTGATTTATGTTTCAATTTTTGCAATCAGTTTCAAACCGTCAAACCGTTTACAAAATAAAAATCTTAAAATAAATTAATTTACTTTTATCTCCCAACTAAAAAAGATACATTGATATTAGACTAACACAATTAAACTCAAACCTAAATAGACAGCTATATATCCTAATTAATTAATTAAATCATACTCAAATACACATCAATCATCCCAACTGTGAATATAAAACCCTCAAATTGGTGAACTGTTGAACAATTGCAGTTAAATCATATTCTTCGATCGCCCATTACGACTAAGTAGACAATTAAATCTAGATTTTAATTCAAACTTACAAATTTATTTTTCTTCTACTAATATTTTTCTCGAATTTTACCTAAATTTTCAGGTCAATTTTTCCAAATTTTCTTGGTTTTTTTTTGCTATATTTTTATTGGCGGCTATACTGTTTGCTTTAATTATTGTCGAGCTCCCTTAAATTTTTAACCGACAACAACATTTTTTGTTTATTTGAGTCTTAATTTTCTGGTTAGGTCACTTAATTAAATAATTATATTTAAACTTAATTTTTAAATTTTACGGTTAGTTGATCGAATGATTTGATGGATTACTTAAATGGTTGTTTTGAAGATTTGAGCAATAAACCTACAAGATTTTCCCTCAAATTGCTAAAGATGTGTTAACTATTCAAATATCTACAATTGTTTCTGAGTCTACATTCCCTATTAGTGGTCGGATTCTCGATTCCTTTAGGAGTTTGTTGAGTGCAATATAATTGAAATTAGTTGCATAATAATGAGGAACCTATAATAATTCGTTAATATTTAAATGAAATAGAAGTATTGAATGGTTCACAACAAGTTAAAAAGTTATAGTACGTATTATCGTATTTGATGTTTCTATTCATTTTCTTTTATTAGTTATTTTATACCATTTAATTAAAATCAATGTAATCATGTACGATATTTTTATCTTTATAAAAAGCCTGAATCATGTGTTATAATTCCAGATATTGCGTCAATTAATATCGACTAAGAGGTTAAAATATTTTACCATGTTGTTACATTATAATGACTAGAATTATAGAACTTTGATTTTTAATATTTTTAATGATATTATTTATATTTTAATGTGAATTTTTAGACTAATATTTATTATTTAACTTATTCGATATATATTAATTTTTTTCTTTATTATATAATCAAATCCAACAAAGTGGTTTAGATTGATTTGGTTTAGAAATTGAAATGGTTTGATTTGAAAATTTGTCTCCAACGGTCCAACCTTTTAAAACGAACCGTGTTCATCCCTATTTGGAGCAACATATTAGAACAGACAGAGAAAAAAATTATTTGCACCAAAGATCTTTTATTACATCATTGAATGGACCCGTTTGATAACAATTGGATGATAACAAAATTATCAACGATTAAAATTTCGTATTTCTATTCAACAACATATGGATATTTCCTTGATTTTGGTTAAGGGATTGTTAAATTCTTGCCTTGTTGTGATTAAATTAATTTTAGCGTATCTTCCTATTAATTATACTGAATTTATATAATCTCAAAATAAGATGAGCTTAGACGGTATCATTCATTCCATGTTCGGTACATGGTATAGAATTATGATGGTAAGAACGAAGTGTGGTGCAAACCCATTTTATCCAAGGAATTATTTTAATGGGGCGCGACTAAAGAAGGATAAGCTACATGAATTAATTAAATTCGAGTAATATTATCGTTATTTAATTTAATATGGTGCGCTATATACCCCAAATGCATATGAATGCTAGCTGTATTTATCTACAGTGTTTTAAAATGTGTAATGCGTGGCGATGCGTGGAGGCCAAGCCCAGGGTTAGGCGAGCTTAGAAGAGGCATATGCGTAAAAATTTTTTTTCGTATTTTAATTTTTAATCAATTAAAAATAATATTTACTAAACATTTAAAACAAATTTATAGGAACTTTATACATTTTTTCAAAGTTTTCAACAAAAGAGTTTTAAATTTAAATACAAAATAGTAAGAAATTATCTACCGTAAATAAGATTCGTTGGTCACTTGATTTTTGGGTTCAAATGGTTGTTTTAATTTTAAATTAGGGCAAATTGAAGAAAAGCATTGAATAATTTTTAACTTCAAAAGAATTGTAAAAAAAAAAAAAGTGTCTAGGTGCGCTTTAGCGGTCAATGACTGTCGTTGACCACCAAATAAGGCGCTAACTCATTAGGCTTGGCGTTTTAGTCTCGCCTCTCGCTTAGGCGCGTCTTTTAGAACACTGTTTCCCTAATAAAGATGATTTGTTGATCTTAATATATAAGGGCAATGTAATGCACTTTGAGCATCAGCATATATAATTACTATAATTCCACTTGATAACTGATGTAAGTTATCACACTAATATAGACTAAACAACATTTGTGTGGGTGAGGGAGAGTTGGCGGCGACGGTGGTGGTGGTGGTGGGGTTGGGGGATTGGATTTTGTATTAACTTATGATGAGTGATGAATCTTAATGAAAAAAGAAGCATGAAATGCCGCAAGTTTAAATGTCGAGATAAGTTATTTTACTCAATATGTTGTACGCGCACCACATAATTTATTCATCGTGTTGTGATTTTCAATGTCTATGTAACATACAATATTTTCATGTGTGTTTGGAGTATAAAATATGTTGTTTGCTCGACTCAATAAAATTCGATTAAATGAAGGAAGAGAGACAAATGTTGATTAAGATCGATTAATCATTTAGGGCTAGTTCTCTTTATCGTTTTCAAGTCGTTTTCTGTTTTCGATTTTTCAAAACAGTGAAAACGCGTTCTCTTTCTTATTTTCGAAAACGTATTTTTGAAAACAAGTTAAAATTTACAGAAAAAAAAAAAAAAACCAAAAATATTTTCAGTTATAATCAGGCCAAAATTTTCAAAACGCGTTTTGGGCGTTTTCCATTTTTTTTTTTTTATTGTTGAAAACAATTTTTCAAAATCTCAAATAAAACATATTTTCTACAATCTCAAAATAAACACTCAAAACACAAAATTGAAACACAACGTGAAAAACCCCTTATAATCTAACATACCAAAATTCTAATGATATATTACGCATTTCGAATTTAGATAATGGACAAATAGTAATAAATGATTTCTTAGGAATATTAAAACATATCATGTAGAACATAGAGAATGACCACTCAAATGAATTTAAACCATCATAGCATATAGTATTTAGAATTGAGAGTACCATTCGACTATAACTTTTTACTATTTGTCTTACTAAAGTATTTCAACGACACATTTCAATCATCCTTCAAATAACTTGAATTTTGTTTGACATGATTAAAAATTCAAAATACTTAGGGGCTGTTCTCTTTGTGTTTTAAGTTTTGAATTCATTTTGGGTTTTGTGTTTTGAATGTCCATTTTGAGATTGTTGAAAATGTGTTTTTTTTGACATTTTAAAAAATTATTTTGAAAACAGCCAAAACACTTGATGTGGTAGATACGAATCTAAACAATGTAGCATTTTGGTCATTATTCCACATAGTGACGTGGGTAGATACGAGAATAGCGTTCATGGAGCATTGGAATGCAAACGGAGGCCGTAAGAATAGAGGTGCGAGGAACTGTTATTACTGTTGTAACGCCGTCACAAGAAAGCGTCAAGAAACTACGACGTGTTCATGAACGATTTTTGTCATTACCGTTAGGTTTCAAATTAAAGAATTTTCTATTTCA